CTACGGAAATTAGCTATTGCATTTTTCTACATAGACATGACATCAAAAATTATTGGTTGTGAATCACCAAGGAAGGTTGGTTGAGAGGTTGTGAATGAGAACAGAAAATAAAAATCTTGCCAAAATTTTTGAGTAGATTTGTAGCTTGGGTTGTGGTTGGTTCGTTCGCCCGCCGAGCAGCTTTGTTAGTTCACAGAAGTTTCATTACCCTGCTGGGTAACATCATCAGTGTAGCCTCCAGTGAAGCGCTGTTGTGTTTTCCTGCCTGGTATTTAAACTCTGAGGTCTGTTGGAGTTGATTATCTCATTTCTGGTATTTCTTTGCAGTGGTGTACATATAGGGTCTAATTTTATGTGTTTATTGATGGCCTTCTTGGTGGAGAACCAGGCCTCTAGAAATTCCCGTGCTTGTCTCTGTTTGGCCTGTCCTAGGATCCTGATGTTGTCCCAATCGAGCAGGTGGTTCTCCTTATCCGTGTGAATGGAGACGAGTGAGTATTGTTCATGTCTTTTTGTTGCTAATTGGAGGTCATGTATTCTTGTGGCCAGTTTCCTTCCTACCCACTATGGACAGAACCAATGTGATATACAAGATTCCATGCAAGGACTGTGACAAACATTACATTGGACAGATAGGGAGGAAACTGGCCACAAGAATACATGAACACCAACGAGCAACAAAAAGACATGACCAATACATACATCGCCATTCACAGGGATAAGGAGAACCACCAGTTTGATTGGGACAAACCCAGGATCCTAGGACAGGCCAAATGGAGACCAACACAGGAGTTTCTACAGGCCTGATTCTTGATCAAGAAGGCCATCAATCAACACGTAGAATTAGACCCTATACGTACACCACTGTGAAGGAAAACTGGAAATGAAGTAATCAACTCCAACAGACCCCAGAGTTTAAATACCAGGCAGGAAAACACAACAACGCTTCATCAGAGGCTGCACCGATGACGTTACCCAGCAGGGTAGTGAAACGTCTGTGAACTAAACAAACCAGCTCGGCGAGCGAACCAACCACAAAAATCTTGCTATTTCCCTAAAACACGCATAATTGGAAGAAAACAAAAAGGTTTCCTGTACATTTTTCTTTCACCTTAGGGTGACAAAAGGGATAGGATACTTAGTTTACATCAAGTTTCAGGCAAGTTTTCATGACCCAGGTGAGCCAAAAGGAAAATTTAAAAAACATTTTCAGAAACTAGATAATAGGTCTTCTTAAAAAAAGGTCAAATCTTCAGTCTGGCCACAATGCTAACCTCCGTCTCAAGTGTTTGACTGGATTGTTACATCCCAAACCATGCCCATCTTCTTTGCAACTTGATGTCTTAGCTTTTCCAATTTGGATTCCATCCTTGCACAAGAATTAAACTGCCCCAATCCAAACAACAAATTACATCCTATGTGACTGATACCAAGGGATACTTTATTTGTCAACAGTCTTTGATGAGGCTGATCCATGTAATGTACCCTCCAACTCCCTCCTACCATCCAACTAAGTGGGACTACCCATGGTTTTTATTCACTGTCCAGTTGTATAGAAACAATGTCCCACAATGGCTTTCCTTTGCACAACAGCAATTTCCTTGTGGTTCCTAAAATTCTTCAAATTCTGGCCTTTCTGTGGCATCATCCTCTTTAGTCACATCAGCATCACCCTTACCTTCTCTAGAATTTTCTCAAGACCAACAAGCCTCTTTCCTCCTTTAAAATATATTTAAAACCTCTCTCTTCAACTGAAGTTTTTAGTCTTGTTCTTGGTTTTTTTTTCCGGATTACATTCCTCTCAAGTACCGTAGGATATGAATTACATCCCATTAAAATGCAGGCCCTTCTAATAAAAAAAACCTGCAAGGAACTTTACTTTGGATAGTACAGTGAATCAGAGAACGAATCATAGAATGGTGATAGCACAGGATGTGGACATTCAACCTGTTGTCTCCATGTTGAAACTCTACTCAATTCAACTCATACCACTTGCTGTTCTCTCTACACCCTACTCCATGTAGCACTGTCAGTTTCCTTTTTAAGAGAATTATCCATTTCCTTACCCAATACCTTTGTTGACCTTGCTTCCACCACTGTCAGGCAATACAAAGCAGATCCTCACCACCCTATGAAAAGACTTTTCTTCCTTAATTACATTCAATTTGTGCCTGCTAATGCTCAATACTTTCACCAATGGTAATACTTGGCCCCCATTTAGTAGAAGCAAATGGCCATATCTTCCTGACACAACCCAGTCAACAGTAAACTGAATTTTCCCACTAAAAAAGAGATAAATTTTCCAAAGGTTGTGTCAATGGATATCCCTTTGAATTTAAGCTTGATGCCAATGCTGCAGTCATTCTCCTATTTGACCAGTTGTCACGGCTGAAAAATAAAAAAAGCCACAGCCTATAGTTATGCGACCACATGGCATTGGTAGAATGATTGTCAAGGGAATTAGAATGACACAAACTACGCTGCAACACAAGAGGCATTAGATATTCAAATACATGGTCATGGTTCACAATCAATACTCTTGATGTTTAAATCTCTACTTTGTTCAGAAGTAAAGAATGCCATTCGTTCCAAGAACCCAGAAAAACAGTTGTCAAAACAATTGCTCAATGATAAACCCTTGTCAACCACCCAGTCAAGAGACAAACAGTAGTACTTTTTTCAGGCTTCCTAAACTCATTGCAGAACCCAAAGAGAAGACAGAATCTTTTTTATGGTCACTACAGTAGCATAATGGAAATATTTCATACAGCTTAGAAGAAAGAGTGGCTAGCAAGACTAAAGAGGCACAACTGATTTTGACAAGATAAAACAAGTCACCAACTCTGCTACCTTTCAGCAGTATTGTATTGAAGGGTGGACAAATCAAGAGTCCACTGTGTTGGCTAAGAACACATATTTCGAGCACCAACACTTCACAGGCATAGACAACTTAATAGTATACGACAGTGTAGTGTAAGACTAGTCATCCAAGCTTCCCTTTCGGAAGTGCATCAGAAGGAATGCATCAGGTACACTTGGGCATTTCCAGGCATACAGCCATGGTTCAGTTAGCGATATACTTTCCAGAGATTATAAGAAATTGAGAATCTCAAATCATTATGAAAAATGAAATTATACAAGGACAGGTATATGGATAGGAAATGTTGAGAAGGATATGGGCCACACATAGGCAAATGGGACTAGTTCAGGTCAGGAAAAAAGATGTGTGGGCCAAAGGGCCTCTTTCTGTGCTGTATGACTCTTATAAACATGGCTAAGAAAGGCTTGCCAGCCTGTCAGCTTGTTCAGTTTGTCAATCCGTTGGAATGTAAACATTTAAAAAAACATCAACACAATTTAACCAATATTGAATATTTCAAAGTACACATAGAAATGCAAAATTGTCTCCAAATTACATTAAGGTCTGATCTTTTAAATGTGTTCATTGCTATTTTATTCAGAACTAGACGTTGAGCTCAACACCTTATAACTTCAACATGGACATTCACATAGACAAATGCGTACCTTCAAATTTGTTCAAAATTCAAGAAACAAGGGGTGAATAGGTCATTGCTTTTAGGCTTGAGGGGCCCCATTCTAATTATGCTGACATATTGTGAAAATTATAATGCATTGAGAGAAAGTATCGTTTAGGTCCACGTTTAAACGCCAACTTGAGGTTAAGCCTGACACAAGGACCTCATATGTGGTTACAACTGACAAATTCTTCAACTTGAAATTTGCCTTTGAAAGCCAAATAACCTGATTAATATAAAATATATGTATATATTTAATAATAAAAATCCAACATTAAACATGAACTTTCAATATTCCCAAGAAAAGTTCCCATTTCATGCCAAAAAAAAAACAGCAGCAACCAAATAGCACAACACAGGAACGTTGATTTCCATTGGTTTGCAGTATTTAACGAGTTAAAAGAGGAAGAACTCATATGTCGTAAAGCCAATGGATTATTATCAACGTGACACCTTCTGTTTTGTTACATTTTTCTCATGCACTGCAAAGGTCAGAATAATGATGCAGAATAGAAACAATTACTCTTTTTTCCTAAACCTGGATAATTATGGAAGTGGGTCACAAAGTTTCTTATGTCATTTCCATACTTCTTACGGATTCAATATTTGAAAGACAAAAATCCCCTTACTTACATCATAAAAACTGAGTACTGAGTACAATTTATTGATTGAATTTATTATTACCACATGCACCAAGATACAGCAAAAAGTACTCTTTTATGTGCTATCCAGGCAAATCATACCTTATATAAGAACATCAGGGTTATAGAACGGAATGCAGAATATAGTGTTTTCAGAATACAGTGTTTTTCAAAAAAAAAAAGAAACTCCAATATCCCTCAAAAGCGTAAATGAAACTTTACAATAAAATCATTGATGACATTTATGGACACAAAAATGAAAACCTCTTGGAATCTGAAAGAAGTTTCACTAAAATAGATAACCATAGTTCACTTTTCTGCCACAAAGAACTTGAGTTTTCAGGCATATCTAGGATGCATTACAACATTGGCCGTTGACAGCAACTAAGTGTGAAAAGTCCTACTCCAAAGACTCAAACTCCAATCCGACCAATCCAGTGGCTACAGTTAAAGTAATTCTCTCTCCCAATGTATTTATTTATTTTCCAGCATGTATAATGTAACAATCAACTTCAACAGACAGAAAAACCTCTGAGAACATTAAACCCTTTAGACATCTTAAGGTATCAGCATGCTTTCGGGCATTCACAGATGCCCATCATTTACTCTTCCAAATGTTTATTATTTGCAAACAAATTTATCACTTCCCATAAATTTATGCCCCTTCTCCTGCCCCACTGAAGATATTAATTGCCTACACAAGCCTCTGTGTCCAGAAAACTACAGACATGTTTTCGCTGGCATGACACATTTACTTACATGGCATCACTGTTATGCGACTTAATCACATTTTGCAAAATGCTGATTGATCAAGATCACTTACCTGCAGTTTGGAGGCGGATCCAATGTGATTTCTGCTAATTCCTTTTGAATTCTGAAAAAAGAAATATTCAGTGCAAAATACTGTGCTGCATTTAGATGTAAAAGAACGATTATAGTGCCCTCTATCACCATCCGTTTCTCAGCAGCTCACCCAACCAGAGTGGAAAACATGGCTGCTTCCTCTTTGTTCTCAACAGCGTTAGACCCAAATCCCATAACAGGACAAGTTTTCACAAATTTTCACTACCTGTCGCTTTCCAATTTACACAATTCAGCAGAAAACGGGTAAAAGGGTATACCAAAGATGCAAACGAAGAGAATTCATTCCGCTTAAGGGCGGTTTTCCACATTTTTTTCTCTTTTCAAGCTTATATGCAAATGAGAGGAGTGTTTATATTGACATATTTGATAAGGACTTTAAAGGAGTGTAACCGGGATTGGCAAAATGCCGGTGCTCGAGTTCAGAAACAGGCATCTTTACCTTTTAGCACTGGTGGAGAGTTTGGCTGTGGTTTTGCTGGATACCTTGGGGTCTTTCTTTTTCGGTTGTTGCTGAGAGGATGGCTCTTTCCTCTCTTCTTGCGGGTTGTCACGCTGGTCGGCATCCGAGCTCCCACTGCTTGTGCTCGGACTCTCGTCGTCAGACCTCTGCCTGTCGCTGGACATCTTCCCTTAAGCGTCAAAAGAAGTCACAAAATTACCACATTCACCAAAGAGAAGGGAAAGCCGAAGTACTATTTAAAACTAACGACTCACATAGACACCAAGAAGCAATGCTCGTGGCCACAGAGCGGACAGGCAGCAGCTCTCCCCCTCTCTCTTTCCCTCCCCCTTCTTCTCCAAAGATTTAAAAACACGCTTTGCATTGGATTTACATAAGGTAGACGGATGTTAGGCACATAAACTACAGACATGTGGTGTTCAAATTTGAAAAAAAAATCAAGTTGTCTTTGTGTTTATGCGTGGAGGGGGTTGGCGAGGGAGGTCATGGGGTGTCTGCTGTAAAACGAGGTTTTGTTGTGTAAGGTGGCACAGCTCGGGATTTTAACATTGCACGATCTTGACGGTCATTTCAAGGAAGGGTGGACTAGACTGAAGCCGGACACCGTCAAGTCTTAAGGAGGCCAGGGTCGGACATCTGTGGCAGGTTTGGGTGACTGCTTTTAAGTATTATTTCAAATCGTCCTTTTAAAAAGCGGGGCGCTCCAATCAGCGTGGCACAGTAACTGATGCGTAAACTCTGATCTCTCGCCAACCGCTGAACAATGAGGAGGAATTTGTCAAGTTTCCCGACCAAATTGTCTACCTTTTTCTTTTATTGTCAAAGAGGCTGACGGCCAACTTCCTTCTTACCTTAGGGTGATCCGAGCCCGAGGCCTGTGGCCGAAATGGACGGGGTGGGCAGCCGATGTTTAAGGCAAGAATTATTTTTTTCTCTCAACAAAAACAGCAAATTTTGTCCGGGGAGTGGGGGGGGGGGAAGAACCAAGGGGGGGGGGGTAGGGAGGAAGGAAATTAAAAAGTGTCAGAAGCCCACGGTCTGAATCATTGAGTCGGAAAGCGAGCTGTAATTTCTCCTCAGACAGACACACGCTCGCTCGCTCACTCACTCGGCTGTTTAATTCACCTCCCGCCGCCAGCGCACGGATCGCGCCGAGTCAGCAACAGCAGCAGCGGCGGCGGCGGCGGCGGCAGCAGCCCGGGCTGCGCATGCGTGTGTTGGGGGTTGGGGGGGGTGGAACTGCTGGTTGCTGGGGACCGGCGCGCGCCCGACGCTAACGGATTCGCGTTCTTCACCTGCACTCGAAACGGCGGCCGCTTCCCCGGACCACATCATACCACATACCGGTCAAAAACAATAAAGACAACGATTACCCCTCAGGCTTCCAATAACCACGTCCACTTGGAACTCGCATCTCGTTCTCTTTCACTCAAGAAGATCCGTTTTGGAAAGAAGACACAGTTGGGGGTGCGGGTCCTGTTGAAATGGGGAGGGCGGCAGTCGGTTCTCAATGTATCTTAGAAACGGTTTACGTTTATTCCCGTTCACCAGGTCGATCGATCTTGTCAACACAAAGACTCAAAGCGACTCCGGCTCCTTTTTACGTCCCGCCGTGGCGATCCTTTGCGATTTGAGTCGACAACCGAAGAGGTGAGCGGATTTTCCCGACCTTTTTAATCGCAGAGGTGTGCAGATGTGGCATGCGGTTCGCAGCTGATCATAATTTGTTTACATGTGGTCAGTGGCTTGACCCTGCATTTCTGAAAGCGGATGTGTCGAAATCGTGGGGCTTGACTTCAAATGGGTCCGTCACCTGTGCGAAACTTATTCTTGATCAAAAGTTGCTGGGTTCTAGTATACCCTCGGGTGACGGAGCTCTTCATCTGTTGCACTGATGAAACTTTATGAAATTCTGAATTTCTCCAAGAGTATTATTGGCATGAATAATGAATAATATTCCGTCTACCCCAATGCAGGAGAATATACATATGTAAGAGGGGGAAAAGTATAAAATAATTTGGACTCGAAGACCGAACCAAGTACCTTTCAAATATTGTAACGTTATGATGTAAGGGAAAATATCCTCCAAACAACAAGAGAATAAATGAACATATGATCAGTCCCTACACTGATAAGGTGATTGAGAGGTAACCATCAGCCAGAATATTACAGAAATGTCTTGAAAGGTATGTCTTTGCCTTTTTGGTTTAATTACCCCTTCCAGTATCTATTGATGACTTACAACATAGACGGACGATTCCAGGCCCCTTGAAAGGAAGTGGTAATCCTGGTATATCGTTTTGTTTTGTTTTGTTTTGTTGACTATGATTTCAGTATCAAAATCTGCTTGCTCGCTGCCCTGGAACAGATACACCCTCAATGCCCTCTTGACAATGTTTGTTACACCTGTACAATTTACTAATGACAGGAACTTTTACACATGTGAACACCTGCTTTTCTGTCAATGATCATACACTTTATCTTTTCTATTAATAATGACCATAAGACCACTTTATCTGTATCTTTCTCAGTTTGCTACTATAAAATAAATTTATCAGCAGTATATGTATTTGTTCTGAAGTTTATTAACTTTATGTAATCTTATTGTTAGTATGCAAGTCGTTTTTTGGAATTCAAGTTCTGAACAGCAAATATACAAAAACAATTCTGACCATGAACTGTCATATATATTTGCGTCCATGGAAGACATGTAACATTAGGCAACTTCCAGTTGAGACCCTGATCAGAAATGTTTAAAAAAAAGTTATTTAATTTAATGGAGATCGCTTTTCACAAAAAAGGTCATCGTTTTCACAACCAAAAATAGGCTGATTGTCAGTAGGGCCTGGTCTTTGTTGCAATTTATTTTGGAACAGAAAATAGCTTAGGTAAACTCAAGTATAGTGTGACATTTTCTCTTCCCTTCCTTAATATCTGTATTAACGTGTTGCAGCACTTTGAGGAGTTATTCAAGTGAGAAGCTAACAAATGATTTTTTGGTATGATAAATTTGGTCTTAAATGTGAAATAACTCCACAGAGGCCAGTATCCCATCACCAAGTCACCCTCTATTTGCACTTGCATAGGACTTGACACTGGTCCGGATTCCTCAGAGTCAGCTCTCAGAATGAGCAGGATGTGTGACACTCCTATTTATATCTGTCAGCCAGGGCTCCCTCATTGGACCAGATTAATAGCCCCAATCAGGGAACTCATGGTCTATGAGGTCGATCTGGCTGACCTTGTTACCATCACTTCAACATGTATGATCCTGCACAACTTAGGCAGTGACGTTTCCTTTGCTCAACTTCAAGTACAAGTACAAAAAATTAGTTCAAAACTACACTAGCACACAAGTAACAGTAGAATCAGGTTTAACAATTAGGTAAAAGCACCCTTTGGTTTGCACAAAACGTGATGGTCATTCAGTGCAAAGATTCATCCTCAACTGAGTGCTGCAGACTGACAAATTTCATGATTCAGGACTAGGTGCTGCGAAACACAGTAAAGCTTGCAGCCCTGCAGTGGTGCAATGAAGAAATGTGGCTGTTTTAAGCTTTTCAGCTGCAGTACACAGGGGGGTAGGAAACTGTCGAACACACGTCTGGCTGTGTGCAGGGCACTGAATATACGTATGAATACAAAGGGTACTGAAATGTATAGAGGCACCTTAAGAGTGAAACTTGGGAAAAATTGAACTCCATTGCATTTTCTGTAATTTTCCATTTGAAATGTTTTGCCTTCAGGCTGTATGTTTGACATGGAATGTGTATTGTAAATATTAAAAGGACTACAGTGTTATTGATGTGAGTGCACCCTGATCTATGGACAAAAGTTGACCTTCATTCTAAATTCAGTAATTTATTTGCAATTGGTTGCAATGTACTCATATTCCTAACAGTTGTAAAGTACATTTTTTAGGAAAGAAGTAGTGGAATCAAGTCCTAGGCAATCATATTTATGTATGGATGTTCTGAATCTGTAAACTACTCAAAGAAATACATGTAGGTGATATTGTTGAAGAAGAGAAAGACTGAGTCAGTGGACCAGCTGACTCATTTCACAACTTATTTGTGGAGCAGTAATTGCTGGAAGACATAGTCCAGCAGATGATAACCCCATGCATTGAGAACAATTCTAAAAGAGAGTCTGGCAAATTATGGTCACACAAAGGAGGACGAACAGAAACCTGCACAAAAATGCTGGTGTTCAGACATGTTTAGTCCTTGACACCCGGGTTAAGGATTTGGACAGAAGCAGAGGGGAGGGTAATTGAGAAAAACACCACATTATCACGATAATATAAAATTCAATGATAAACTGCAGATGCTGGAGATGTGAACCAGACAAAAGTAGCAATTTCTGAAGAAACTCAGCAATTCTGGCTGGATCTGTGGAGAGGGGAACAGAGTTCACATTTTGAGTCTAGACACCCTTCTTCAGCACGTGGATTCAAAACCTTGTTTCTCTCTCCATAGATGGTGCCAGACCTGCTGAACCATATAACCATGGGATGAGATAAACAATGCAGACATTGGAACAGAATAATGAAGAATAATGAAGGTAGGAGTCTGATGCAAAGCAGATACCGTTCACATGCAAATACTGATCCATAAATAAAAGTATGGCAAATAAAGATCTGATCACTCAAGGAATTAAATACTAAAAAAATGCATGACAAATTGGCAAGGGGAGCCATTAATGTTTCTATAATGTTATGGGACAATTAAATGTATGGAGACAGAAACAAAGAAAAAAAAATCTCAATCCTAAAAACGATCATTTAAATTTGGATTTAGGTTTTATTGTCATGTGTACTCAAGTGCAGGGGTACAGTGAAAAGTGTACAATGTTGCCATTCCCAGTGCCATCTTAGTACAAAGGTACCCAGGTACAAAATCTTAGGTGCAAAAACAGAAATATACAGAAATAAGTTAAGAAGTTCAGCATTACATTTATTCTTCATATAACGTCGGGAAATAAAGAAATGAAGTTAAAAGTTAAACATTACAGTCCTTTCCCAAGCTACGGGCCTGCAGATGCTCCATGCTGGGCTTTCCAACATGAGGGCTTGCTCGCTCCGGGGCTGGGCATGCTTTCACCTGCACAGAGTCAAGTCCTGCCCACGCTCGCCAGCTGCTACGCCACCAACTGCTGCTTCAGCCGTTTCATTGCCAACTGCCACTTTGGCTCGCAGGCTTTACCAATGACCTCAGTCGTGATCTCTAAGAGACAGGTAGAAGGTAGTTATGTTGAGGAGCTGATTGGCTGTTAAGTGGAAAGCCTGCATGATCAGGCAGGAGTTATGGATTGTCCTCAGATATTAAAGATTGGAAAGTATGCTCAATAATCTTCTTGTGAAGAGGAGGAACAGAGAGAGAGAGATTCCAGATTCCAGTGTTGGACGAAGCAGCCTGAAAACTCTTCGCTGACAGATTCTGAAAATCACAGGAAGAGAAGCAGACCACAGCAGGATTGCTTCAGGCAGTGTTTCTGAAATGCTTTTGCTTGAATAATCCTTTTTCAAATGGATAACTGCCCCAACGCCCCCCAGCCCACTATGTCGGTGTGGCATGGTGGTTCAGTGGTTAGCACTGCTGCCTCACAGTGCTAGGGACCCAGGTTTGATTCCATCCTCAAGCAACTGTCTCTGTGGAGTTAAGACATTCTCCCTGTGTCTGCGTGGGTTTCCTCCCACTGCCCAAAGATGTTAGGTGGATTGGCCATGCTAAATTGCCTATAGTGTCTGGGGATGTACAGGTAGGTGGGGTAGCCATGGGAACTGCAGGGTTAGAGGAATAAGGTAGGGGAGTGGGTCTGGGTGCGATGTTCTTTGGAGGATCAGTGTGGACTTGATGGGCCGAATGGTCTATTTCCACTCTGTAGGGATTTTATAAATTCTATGTCATTCATTATATGAGCGTTATATAGATGTTCTGCATCTTCAGTGTATTTTAATAACTGGTCTTTTAAGAAAGCAGATATTTACTTGCAGACAGCGAGTTGAATGGGCTTGCTTAATTTTTTTTTAAATACCCTCACTTGATGACCCTCACTCTATTTTAAAACCAATAGCTTAAGGGGCCAGTGAAATCACTCCCGTTTCTTGACCACAAGCAATGCAGAATTAAATATACTGCTGCAGTGGGCAGCTCCTATCATTACTTCTTCAACTACCTGATCTCTCAAGCCCTGGAAACTATAGCCTACAGTCATTAAATTATTGTTAAAATCTGAGGCACGTAGTCTCATTTAAATATGAAAATCAGCGACCTCCTCTCAGGTGCATTTTTCATCCATATTCAAATGTGTTCCAGTTAAAGCAAAAATAGGTCAGTTCATGGAAGACTGGAGTGGGCAGTTCACATTTTAACAGTTAAATACCCCTACCCACGCTGTCATGTCAACTCTGAAACTTAAGATTATTACTTTTAGAATCATGGAATACCTACAGTGTGGAAGCAGGCCATTCAGCCTACTGAGTCCATTGACCCTCCGAAAAGCATCCCACCCAGATTCATCTCCCGACTCTACCCTGTAAACCTGCATTTTTCCCATGGCTAATCCACCTAACCTGAACATCCCTGGAAACTATGGACAATTTAACATGGCCAATACGCCTAACCTGCTTATTTTTGGACTGTGGGAAGAATGCAGAACTCCTGGAGGAAACCCACGCAAATTGGAGGAGAATGTGCAAACTCAACACAGTCGCCCAAGGGTGGAATCAAACGTTTGCACTAT